GGGGGGGGGGGATTCCTTGAAGCAAAAAATTAAATATTTTTTAGGATTCCTAATTGATAAAATGTTACATGACAAGTTTGAATCTAAAAATCTTTTTCATTCGTTTTATTTATAAACAAAAAATAATCAACTTATTTTCTAACAAACAACAAGAGTTGGCAGCATATAGAGGCTAATATAAACCCTCCACTAAACCCAACTATTTCTTCGGTCAAATTACTCCAGATCGCTGCAGTTCACAACAAAATCTTAGTTTAGGGTAAGTAAGACGTATAAAACTGTGGAATATAAAGAAAACTAACAGACTCGACAATCAACATGTAAAAACTTAACATTGTCAAATAAAAAATAAAACACAGCAATTTAGACACAGACCGGTTTCACTTAATAAGCTGATTTTCAACCTATGACGTCAGCAAATGGTAAAACTATTTGCAATATCTTCTATCTATCTTTATAAAGTAGTAATCTCGGTTGTACTTTTTCTTTCTACGTGAGATCATAACTCAGGAACCCCTAGACAGATCTGTCTCATATTTTGATTGGGGTACTTGTTTATAGAACCACGGATTAAATAACAAAAAGACCAACCAACTTTATATAAATAGTTTCAATGCATAGCTGGGTTCCCAAGCTTGTAACTAAGATTGCAGTAGATATGCGAGAGTCTCTTTTTTAAACAAACACCAATTAAAAATACGTTTTCAAAGTTACAAACATTAGACGTCTAACTCATACTTGGTCAGACAAAGCTTTTAAGGGTACCATTGTTAATCGGACAATTCCATCTTCGCATGGAGAGCGTACAGTCCCTTTAAATGTCGTCTTTCTATTCCGAAGTTTTATTTGAATTGACTTTACCTGGAATGAATAAAGAGCTCTGCCCACCATCTTACAATCTTCAGGTTTACGTCCTGCATTCAAGTAAACTGCCTGGTTACCATTCACATCCTGATCCTCATATCTAAAACAAGACCAGTCCTTTACATGGAATTATTTGATCTAACAGAATACATTGTTTGAAATATCTAAGGTCTGTCTCGTTGGGTCATAAAGATAAATCAGTGTTTGTGGCAAAGACTCAATTGCTTTGTTTTAACTTTCAGGAGACCCTTCAGTTTAAAAGTGTCATATACTATTTATCCCAATCTGAGTATCAATTAGGATTAAATATTTGTTTTTCTTTCTTATAACGTGTTGCAATCTACCTTTGTAAAAACCACAATTTCAAATAATCAATTTTCAAATAGAAAACTAAGAATAGCACATTCGTCCTTGTCATGAATCGGAAATGCAAAGAAACTAATGATTTTTTAAATTAAATTAAATAGATTAAATATTTATCAGTCACCTGTTTAAAGGAACAGGAGATTTCTGGCTTGGTAGAAGCGTATCATGATGTTTTCTGTTTTCCTGATCCCGTTTTAGCTCATTTTCCTGATATATCAAGATTATAATCATTTTATCATGATGTTTTGTTACATTCCTGATATATCAAGGTTTTATTTATTTTATCAGGATAATTTCTCATTTCCCTGATATATCAAGATTATATTTATTTTATCAGGATAATTTCTCATTTTCCTGATCCCTTTTAATCAAATTTTCCTGATACATCAAGATTAAAATGTTCTTATTATTGTAGTTGTTGTTGTTGTTGTTATTGTTGTTTACCTTCTGAAATGAAAGTGTACTGTAAAACTGGTTTAGTTGTTGTTTTTGTTGTTGTTTACCGTCTGTAATGAAAGTGTACTGTAAAACTAGTTTAGTAGTTGTTGTTGTTGTTGGTTACCTTCTGTAATGAAAGTGTACTGTAAAACTGGTTTAGTTGCTGTTGTTGTTGTTTACCTTCTGTAACAAAAGTGTACTGTGCAACTGATTTTGTTGTTGTTGTTGTTTACCTTCTGTAATGGAAGTGTACTGTAAAACTGGTTTAGTTGTTGTTGTTGTTGTTTACCGTCTGTAATGAAAGTGTACTGTAAAACTGGTTTAGTTGTTGTTGTTGTTGTTGTCGTTTACCTTCTGTAATGAAAGTGTACTGTAAAACTGGTTTAGTTGTTGTTGTTGTTTACCTTCTGTAATGAAAGTGTACTGTAAAACTGGTTTAGTTGTTGTTGTTGTCTCCGCTTTACATCTTCTTCTGTTTCATGTTCTCTCATATCTCCCCATCTCTAAATTAAACAAAGTATTTTTGTATGTTTGTCTGCTTGTATGTCCAATCATAACTCATGAACCCTTTGACCGATTTGCCACAAATTTGATTTGGAGAACTTGATAGAACCAAAGGTATGTCCTATTACTTTATAAGTTCTTATTTGAGTAGATTAAGACTTTTATAGGTAAAAGTTTTCCTCGGGCAAATCTGGGATTCCAAATTTAGTATTTCATGACGAATTTCACGCTTTACATTTCCGAGCCTTGTATCCTTGTTTCGGTTTTATTATGTTAAATATATTTTCTTTTTTTTCTTTTTTTAAAAGCTATAATTTCCTAACAGCATATGTGACTTTGTAACGTCGAGGGNGGGGGGGAGTTGATTATAGTCCTGTTTTCTAATAAAATAACATGAATGGACAGAGCAAAATTCTTAGGAATAATCAGTTCGTAAATTATCCCTTGTTAAAATATGGAATCTTTAACACGTAGTTAATAAAAGACTCTTGGTATAACGCATATTATAATAACCCCTCATTAAAAAAATATAGTTCTTGACTAATTAACTCCTTATTTTATCTATGTATTCCTTTTTGATTAGATTACGAATAGATTTTAATTTAAAAATCTACTTTGAAACAAAAGTTGGCGCCGTGACAAACTCCTGAAAGACAAACTCCTGAAAGACAAACTCCGGAAAGACAAACTCCTGAAAAGACAAACTCCTGAAAGACAAACTCCTGACGAGACAAACTCCTGACGAGACAAACTCCTGACGAGACAAACTCCTGAAAATAAAAAATTCTGAAATACAAACTCCATAATATCAAATTTAAAAAAATGTTTCACAATTTATATTTAATCTAGCCGCAGCGCTCGGCCCAGAAAGTGTCAACACTTAACCTAACCCATGGCCGCAGCGCTCGGCCCTCTAGCCTGTCCTAGCCGCAGCGCTCGGCCCAGAAAGTGTCTTAACCTAACCTAACCCTAAATGATAAAAAATAAATAATAATAAATTTGCTGGTTATTCTGATCATTGTAATACTTTGCTGCTAGAAGCATATTCAAATTACTAAAGATTGAGAATTTTTTCTAGAACATTTGCGGATTTTTCTTCTAAAGTTTATGAATTTTATCAAATTTCATTCAGAGAAAAATTTCATAATTTCAGGAGTTTGTCTTTCAGGAGTTTGTCTTTCCGGAGTTTGTCTTTCCGGAGTTTGTCTTTCAGGAGTTTGTCTTTCAGGAGTTTGTCACGGCACCACAAAAGTTTATTAGAATGTTCTTTTACTCAGTTTTGTCAACTGTATGATACAATAATGAATAACTGACCTGATTGTCCCTTCTACCCATGCTTGAATAGCTTCCAGGCCTTGAAGATACATCTATAAAAAAGCAAAATATTTTTTAAACTGAATATTCTCCTCATATTCTAAATTTCTAATCCTTCATCTTTGTAACCTGATGTTGTAGATCTTTGATATGTTAGTCTAAAAATTCTGTCAAATCTAACAGTCAAAGTTTTTATCATATAAAGAGTTTGGGTTGAGTAATCAGTTCTTTATGTACGTATTGTCAAAATTGTGATACCAATAATACTTTTTCAACAAAAAGCTTCAGCTAGATAAAAAAGAAATTAGTTTTTATTTTTCTAAAATTTCATAGTTCCAATAATTTCATAGTTCCAATAATTTCAAAAATTTATAAATATTCAAAAATAAAAATCATTCAGCTTGTGAGCACAAAAACAAACAATGGTTCTCCACCATAAAAATTCAAAGAAACGTAATCTAATGCTAAATTTCTAATAATAAAATTAAAAAAACACCACAGTTAGAAAAATAATACTCTGGTTGCCCTAATTGTATAACATTTAAACGTAAATATGTGCATGCAAATATCATCTTTTGAACTTTTTGAACTTTAACAAATATTATACAATAAAAATCAAACTTTTAAACCATTGTCACACTCATGGTACTATATATACAATGAACCCAGTTATGGTAAGTGTAACAAATGTATAATGTAAAATAGAATTCTAAACCAGTTTTACCATTGATAATAAGTTCATTGTGTATTAAAAAGTTCTTATTTGTTCTGAGAATAAAATTGCTATTGGCCCAAACTTGGTCACACTGGTTACCTTGACCTTCACCATTACTCTGGAACACTGTAATAGAAGGAACACCATCTAGAACAATGGAAAAGAAAATAGTAACATGCCTGTATTTTCTTTGTTGTATCTAGCTGCAAGCCTAGATATTCGGTTAGTAGGAACATGCTTGCTTGGATTAGTTAACAAGGTTGGACCAGGATGATAGCGGATAGTGTTAGGAAGGGAAACAGAGCCTGAAACCTGTTCTCTGTCTAATGTTAATCTTGGTTATTTTTATCTTAAAATGCGTTATGTTAGTAAGGATAAGAGTAAATTTTGATTAAGGTTTTTAATAATACAGAAATAGCCAAAAGTTACATTCCTAAACTTATATTATCTCTGTATGGTGGAGGGGGTAAGTATGGTGGATGCATAGAAGTACTATTAAACGGAAACATTGGCAAGCTTGTTGGCTGATCACAGGGCATGCCGGTTGTTATTGGCTGTTTTCCAGGCATGTGAAGATAAATTGGTCTGCGTGAGCCTGCTGAGATGAGTTCATCTAAATTCTTAGAATACGTACGACTATCAGTTCTGTTGGGTATATGTGGAGCATCACCGGCATGATAACCATAGTAGCTACGGAATTGATTTTGCTTCTGAGCATTTGTATATGAATTGCCAGGGTTGGGCATATCTTTTTCAAATCTCTGAGACCATCTAAAGCTTGGAGCTTCTTTTTCTTCCATCTGAGTATTCTGTAGGGATCCTTCAAATATTGATTTCTTCATGTTTATATCTCCACTATGATACTTCTTAAAATAGTCATTTTCAACTTTTGATTTAAAGTTAAGCTTATTGAAGCCATCATCCTCCAGCTTTCCATTCTTTTGCAAAGACGACATTTTAGACAGTATTTTACTGTGCCCCATTTTCTTGCAGAGATTCTTGATCTTATTCTTATTCAGCATGGCACCACAATAATCCACAATGTCATCTGATTTGTTGGCACACTTCTCTAATCTTGATTTGATTTGGTTTAAATTGGCTACTTCCTGATTCTTAATGACAACCTTTGAGGAGTCTGTGGCATGTTTTTTAATAAAGTCAGGATTTACGGCAGGTAAACTCTTTACGATGTTACCATTACATCTTTCAAATTGCATTCTCTTATCTCTAACATCTCCAGTCTTGGCAACACGAAGGTAGGCCCTGGAATATTTGGATGGGTCAGATGGTTTATAGCTGTAGGCACTGTTTCTACTAAATATGAACAGCTTTCCATCTGTGCTTTCTCCCAATGAGTGCACCTTTTCATGCATTTTTCCGAAAGTTTCATCAAGGCTGTTATTTTCTGTGTCGGTCAAATCCACATTTGAAATTGATTTTTCTGGGATGTAACTCTTCTCTAGATATGTAACATTGCGGTTAGGTTTGCGGGGAGAATTAGGGAAAGTTGAGTAACCTTCATCTTGCAGTATCTCTGGGATACTGGAGGCAGATTTACTTTGAGGGCTATCCTTATCAAGAGTCACTTGGGGTGGGGGTTGATTCTGTCTTGCTCTACCAATAGCTTTGTGAAAAGATGATGACCTAACTGGAGTTCTAGGAGGTTTTGTTGGTCCTGTTTCATCTAAGGTGTCCTTGTCATCTGGCATAATTTCAAAGGATTTCTTGGTCTCTCTTACCTTGTTCACTGGAATGTTATGATCTTCTTTGACCAAAGAGATTGGTTCAGGCAAAGCAACATACTCAACATTCTCAAAACTCTTTCTGATTTCTTCAAAACTTTTCTCATGAATATTGTCTGGTATCTCTACTTCTTCAATGGTCTTTATATCAAGTTTCTCTATGGGAGGTTGATATATGACAGTGTGCATTGAAGTACCTGAGCTTATACTGTCTGAACTCTGAGAACTAAATCCACCCAACAGTCGACTTTTCTTCTTCATTTTCCCATCCATCCTTTTGTGTTCCTCCTCTGAATCTGCACTGGCCCATTTGTCTATGATTTCTGTGACCTGCGGGTTTCTGGTTTCATTGTCAGAAAGAACAAGTAGGAAATCACTACTTTCATTGTGCTCCATTTTTTTATCTTCATTTTGCTCAGTCTCTAATGAGTAACACACCCTTGGGGAAGTGTCTCTTTTTGGCGTATTTCTTTGAAAGACAAGAGGAACCTTGTTGTCCTTTGTGTTAAAATTCACTTTCTTCTGAGTACATTCTTCCTTGAAATTTACACGTTTCATAAGCTCATCATTGATAGTCTTGGAAATTTTGAGACGCTCCTCATCTTCCTTGGATCTTGATCTTTCCTTCGAATAGGTTTCAAGATTTCTTTCAGCTTCTTCTAAACTCTTTCTCACCATTTCTGGTACAGGCCGTACAAAAAGATTTTCCAACGGCTTTGCCTTTTCATTAACTTCAATAGTGAACTCATGTCTAGAAGGAGAGCGAGATGATTGAGATGAAGCAGCACTGGTAGGTCTGTTGCTCAGGATATCATTTAACTGATTCTTCAACGATGAAACCTGATCATTAGATAGAGAACTTCTGGATCTTTGTGTATTTAAGAAGGAGTAAGGAGACTGAATATTTCTAGAATTTGGGTAAGTAGAAAATGCATCAGGCTCCTTGATTTTACTTCTAGCCTCCTGTTTCTCCAACCATCCTCCTTGCTTGGCAAAGTTCTTTGGCAAAGACTTTGTAAAATCTAATTCTCCACTAGCTCCTTTTTTGTTAAATATGCTCTTTAAGTCTTCAATTGATCTATCCCGCACCCTGAGGCGACTGTCCCCTTTCCATTTAAAGTGTTCAACCTCCTTTGGTCTAAAGTTAAACTCTCTCTCCTTTTGTGCCCTTTTCAGGTCAGTAAGTAGATAATCCAACTCATCTTTGGCCTTCTCCTTCTTTCTCATTGTTCTCCATGTATCAAAATCCACAATGTCTTCACTCTTAAGCTTGTGAATCTCCATTTTGCTGGCAACACTTTCTAGCTTTATAACTCTATCAAGAGTGCTAAAATAAGATTGAAGCTTACAAAATCTTTCATTTTTAGGTGTTGAGTGAACCATTTCATAAACATAGTTTCTGTATTCAACATGATCAATAATGAATGAAGAGTCAGATCTTTGTGACAAAGAAGAAATAGGTCGTGGTAAGCTAAATGATCTCTTGTCAGAGGATTCTGAAGTATTTGACATGGTTGAATGTGGTCGCTCTGCTGAGTTCTTTCTAGATGAAATTCTTTCAAGGTTGGAAATGGACCTTGGGAAAATGGGTCCACCCAAATTAGAACTTGTTCTTACTGGTGATTCTTCATTTCTAATTACTCCTCTTGGTAGTGTGTTTATTTCAAGATACCTCTCAACTTGATCATAATGTTTAAATATTGAGTCTGAAACTGGCTGTTTTCCTTTCAAAAAGACCCCTAAAGTTGGCTGGGAGGATTTTACATATGGTTTCTTTTCTTTGTTCTGTTTTCTGGGCCTTGACAGCCTTTCAGATTTTGGTTTTTCCAGCTCCTCTCTGAGAAGAAGTTTTTGAAAGAATTTTTCTCCAGTAATCTTATGAGGACTTGCTTTTCCATTTTCAGATACTGTTTCAGGGGTTGACACTATTTTAGAATCCCTTTCTGCTGCCTTATCAGCTTTCTCTGCCTTTTCCCGTTTCACCCTTTTCTTTTCTCTTCTGTGTTCTTTGTGCTCTTTGGGAGTTTTGCAGATGGTGCATGGCTTCTTTTTTTCTTTCTTCTCCTTTTTTTCCTTTTTTGTCGTCTTAGTTTCAACATGATCATCCTTTTTTACTCTTTTTCCATCATTTGAGGAATCTTGACTGGATTCATTTATTTTGCTGTCACTGCTACCAGTTGATTTGTTCCCAGCATTCAATCTTTCAGGTTCAGGAAGTGAATTATCAACCTTTTCAACACCCTCTTCAGCATTTTCTAAAATTTTAGGGCTAGGATCTTCTTGAATCTGCATATCAAAGTTGAGTGCTTCATCTTCAAACTTGGATTTCAAGTCTTTTACAGATCCAGAAGATATTCCTGAGTTCCAGGATTCATCTTTCAAACTCTGATCTGATTTAGTTCTCACCAGATGATTCGGGTTCCCGATTGCATCCATCACTTTGAATCTGGACTCAGAGACAGCCCTTCTCTCAGTGAGAAACACAACAAAATCATTTTCTTTCATCTTGTCCTTCAATGACTTCCTTTCCTTGCTTTCAGTCTTCTTGTGTGACTCCTTTTCACTTGATTTTGAGGGCATAGAATATTTCAGAAGCTTTGACCATCGCTTGACTTTACCAGATAACTCAAAATCCTTATTCTTCTCCTTGCAGTCTTCATCAATGTTCTCCTTAGGGACTTCATTCTGATGATTTGAATAAACTTCCTCTTTTTTCTCAGGAGGTTCCTCTCCCCTTTTCTCTACATTTCCAGCTACTGATGGGCAGTTCGTTGATCTTTCTTCAGTTATGATATAGTAGCCAGGATCTGTTTCAGCTCCATCAGTCTCTTCTTCTACTTTGAGAAGAATATCAACTTCAAGCTGTTCATCATCTGATTCATCTTGCTTCTCAAGAACCTCTGTTTCTAAAACATTATCACTTTAGTTTGACTTAATTTCATGCTGAATGTGGCTTAAAATCAGGGATTTAAGATTTCAAAGAGTTTCTTAAGTTTTGGCTTTTCATGAGACAAAAAAGTGTCAACTTTATATGCTCAAATCCTAGATTTTTCATGACACATTATTGTCCTTCTTTGTAAACATTTTGACTGTTGTGCTACCTGCTTTCTTACTTTCATGGCATTCTGCTTGGTAGTTGTGCAATTCCTCCAGAAGTGTATTTTTTACTCATGCAGCAATTTCTCATTCATCTTTCAGTGGTGCTAAATTCTTCATTTTTATCTCTATGATAAGCATGCATCTTTCTCCTTAGTAATTTTCCTCTCTGTAAATCTTCATTACTATTCATGCTATTGTGCTTGTTCACTGTGTGCAACATGTGATTAACTCCTCAAATGAGGGATATATACATTGCGGCGGTGTCCAGAAATATGGAAACAAATTTCCACACACTGTATGGAAAACAAAAATTGGTCATCCTTAGCACACTTTATAGGCAAACAAATAAGATTTGATTTCATATTGTGTTGCATGTATAATATACAATATACATATATGTTAATATAAGTTGGTATCTAAAATTGGTGTCATCATTTTGGCTTTTTTCAGAACCTTTTTTAAAGAGACTAGTCGTTTATTGGCACCAGGCTATAAACATTTACCTAGGCCGATAAAGGATAAATTACAGACAAAGTTTTAAAGGGTACCATTGAAAATCGGACATACCACCTTATAAAGTGAGATTCCACTCCCTTAAAGGAATTGAGTCTTTGCCACAAACTCTGATTTTCTAATCCCTATACCTTTGGATCCCAATGTCCTAAATCTTTGAAATTTCAAACTATGACTATTGTTAGATAAAAAATGTAAGTTTGAAATATCAAAGGTTTACGACATCGGGTTCCAAAGATATTGGGATTAGAAAATCAGAGTTTGTGGCAAAGACTCAATTCTTTTACAACTATCCTTGAGATTTTTAAACAGGATTAAGCTTTGAAATTTAAATAACTAAAAGTAACTTTGTAAAAATAAAATTAATTAAAAGTTTAAATTATTTATTTTTGCCAATGACAAAACAAAAATATTCAATTTAATTAAAAAATAACCCACCACTACTTAATATTTTGTGCATCCTTTTATGTAATTGATTTCATGCATTTGTGCATTTTTTACATTTTTTTGCGTACAAAACAATAACAGTACTTTGTGCATATTTTTCAAACAACAAACATACTTGTGTACATAAGAAAGTTGGTAATTAATAAACATGCATAGTCTACTACAAAAAAAACAATCTCAAATTTTTTTTATTTAATTTTACAACATTTTCTCCAGTTTAAACCGAAAATCATTAAAATTCACATTGTCTTTATTTCTTTTCTTGTGATTTACCGATTTTGTAATTTGACATATTTTTAGATATTTATCAGATCCAACAATTAAAAAAAACATTGGCGATATTTCTTTAGTAAAAGTGAAAAAGGACAACATTGATTCCACAGCTTTTCGGTTTTCTTTGTATATTTACAAAATTGTTGTTAAGGAATTGAGTCTTTACCACAAACTCTGGATTTCGAATGTCATAGACCTTAGATATTTCAAACTGTAAATTCTTTTTGATCAAACAATCTAAATTTAAAATATCAAAGGTTGCAAAGATATTGAGATTAGACGATTTGAGATTGTGGAAAAGACTCAATTCCTTTTTGAGAAAAAATCTAATGGCATTGAATTTCTTTTAAGTATTGTAGTTGTAGCAATAATTTAATTTCTACCTTTTTCACTCCCGGACATTCTTAATCCATTAATCGGGACTTCCCCACCTCTTTGCACCTAGATATAAAAATGTAAAGCAAATCTTCAAGATTTAAAAAACTAGCCTAGAACCAGGATCAAATATTAAGAAAAGAAAAACAATTGATTGCCTGATGTAAAATTGTTTCTTTTTCTCTTGGATTAAAAAAAACATCAAACTGGAAACGTTTTCGATATCCTCGTTTAATTACAAAAAAAAATATATAAACTATACCTTTTTCCATGTAACTAGATTTACTTTGATAGTGTTAACATTTATAATTATATTCGAAAATTCTTTTTTAGAAACGAATCTTAAAATTTTAAAAATTCCAAAAATAAATATATCTGACTAGATATACCTGTGTATAGAGTTGTTTTGCTTGTTTAGGAGAGGGTGTAAGAGTAGGATTGTAATTATGTTTTCTGTAACTTAAAGTTGAATCACTCTCATAACCATCCTTTATCCTCCTAGATTATTATTATTATTATTATTATTATTATTATTATTATTATTATTATTATTATTATTATTTTTATTATTTTTTTCTTTAATTTTGAATTTTGACAATTTTTGAGAAATGAACAGTTTATTCGCCACTGCACAGCCTCTAATTTTTCTTTATATCTTTGCAACCTATATTGTTGGTGACCTCAAAAATCACTACTGTGAATCCCAATGTGGAATATGAAGACGACTGTTATTCAATATACTATGTATTTTAATATATGGGGTTATTATAATGAAAATAGGTTGCGCACAGTAGCTTGAAAATATGAAATGCTTGTTGAATCTTTAAAATGAACGTATTTCTATTTCACATTTGTATAGGTTCCACTGTGTCAAATATTATTATCAAATATTAAAGGTCAGGTTGCAAAGATAAAGTGATTGAAAAAAAAAGTTTGTAACATCAAATTGGATACCTCTGCATATGCCTATCAGATTGTTGACCAGATTCCTAAAAATGAAAATAAAGATTAAAAAAACAATTTTCATATTTCAACGAAAATCGAAATCTGAAAGAACTTTAAAATTAAAATGGTTTTTGTAGCTAGAAATCTGCAAGTCACTTAAAAATTCACAATAAAAAAACTGATTAATAATGTGGAAGATATTGTCGTTTTCCAATGTTTAAAAATTTCTAATTTAGATATTTATACATGCTTTCCTGCAAAAGAAATGCGCAATTGTACCTATTGTAGAGAAACCGCATTTGAAAAATTATCAGTTTTAAAAATAATAAACATTGATATTTAATTTATACTTGATCAGCCATTGCCATCTTTTGCATACGCGCACGTGAATCCATTAAGTTATTAGAAAATCATTTAAATCAACAATATATACTTGAACTCATGGTGTATAATTTCATGAGTAAAAATATATACTTGAACTCATGGTGTATAATTTCATGAGTAAAAATATATACTTGAACTCATGGTGTATAATTTCATGAGTAAAAATATAAAATACTAGAATATATACTTGAACTCATGGTGTATAATTTCATGAGTAAAAATATAAAATACTAGATTTAATATAACATTAAAAAAAGTAATCAAAGTTGAACAAAAGAATGAAATTCAAATAAAATTTCAAAGCACATTTAAAGGAATCCTTTGGGAAATTATATCTCCTAAATGTAAAGAAGAATATTCTAAACAAAGAACATGAAATAGTTCAGGCAAGAATATTTAATGCCCAACAATGAAAAAAAATTTATAAACGAAACCATTTTGAGCATTTTATATTGTCAAAATTTCGACTATATTTTACTTTTCTAACAACAAATTAAGAGTAATACAATAAAAATATATAGACTACTTTTTACTCAATATGTATGAGAATACTGAAAGGTGTCTTTTTAAACACAAGCAAACACTGACGGACAAATTTAAAAGATTTACATTTTACAGGGTTACCCACAAAGGATAAAAATTGAATAACGACCTAAAAATTGTTAAATATAACCACCATTTTTTCAATAATTATATGATTAAGAAAGAAGACTCAATATATTCCGTACAGTTGTCTTTGAAGTCTCAAATCTGTTATGGGTAAACCAAATTGAAAATATATTCTATATACCACATTAAAATACTATTTCATAAACCGCATTAAAAAAAACTTTATAAATCTAAATAACTATTCATTTAAATTAACATATTTAAGTAAGATTAGTAAGATATAAAAATATTTTAACTTGATGAAAAATAATATTTATTTTGCTCATCTAAATCCCAAAAAATTATTATTAATTTAACTGTTTTTCCGTTTATTTCGAATAAATTAAATAGTAAAGAAAATACCGATTTAAATGATCGGACAGATTTGAAAAGAAAAAACAAAACAGAAAGGAGAAAAAAGAGAAATTGTGGAAAACATAGGGATAATGGTTTCTCCTTCTTTTAGGCTCTTATAGACTTAAACTCAACTAACCGTCCTTTTATAGTGTGGCATATACGATTCACAACAGTGTCCTTAACATCTTTCTCAGATGATTGAGATATCCTTATGTGTCGAGCTGAAAATTGATTTGGTTTGTGGTGAGTGAAAGTTACAAGCGGATTTATGATATTAAACCATGTCAGAAATGAACAGAATTCATATTGATTAAGTTTGAAAAGAGATAACATTTTCCATTTTGTGACCTAATGGGCAGAGGTTCAAGGGTACCTTTGTGAATCGGAAACAGAGGTTTAGGGCTACCTTTGTGAATCGGAAACAGAGGTTTAGGGCTACCTTTGTGAATAGGAAACGCCACTCTATTGAAGGTTTACTTGAAATTGCCCTTTCAGACAAAAAAAAAGATTAAGTAAATGGCATCATAATGATTGCAAAAATGCTCTAAATTTCTGAAATATGAAAAAGTTTGAAAATACAATTTCACTCAAGAAGAGGAAAGAAGAAAAAGGAACGAAAAAAGGTAAAATTCTGAATACCTAATTGAAAAAGAAGGAAAGAAAAACAAGAGTCAAAAACCTTGCAAATATAAACATTATGCTTTGAGCATATAACACAGTAAGTTCAGGACAAAAAAGGACAAAAAAAGAGCAAAGAAAGAAAATATTAGAAATAGCATACTTTTGAGGAAAACAAGAAAATGAATAAAAGGTAAAGAAATCAGAAATGTCTTTTTAAAAACCACAATGTTTTAGGAAGGTGGTGGGAGGTTAGGGGAAAAAAAGAAAAAAAGTACTATTAGACAGTTTTGGTTTTACGACTGTATTGACTAGTTATTTACCACGTGAAACATATTTCTATTTACAAGAAAGTTTTTAGGCCCGTTCGTCAATTTAAAAAAACAGACCATAGATTTTTAAGTCTTTGAAATTACTGTTTGAGCATTGTTTTCAAGTTTTTTTTATAAAACCCACCAAGATAAAGTTTAGACAAAACATTAAAATGAATACTATGTGAGAAAAATGAACAAAACACAAAGAAAAGAAGAAAAGAAGAAGAGGGTAAAAGTGCTGAAAACAGTGGCAAGAGAAAACTCGAACATTTTGGTCGAATTTTTCTAAATTGTTTAAATAATGACTGTCAGGTGTTTATCAAAAAAATTTATATCTTTAACATTATGTTAACAATTCAAAACAAATGTTCGGTACTTTGAACAAAATAATCGTAATTTTGAACAAAATATGCGTAATTTTGTACAAAATATTCGTAATTGTGTACAAAATGTTTGGTATTTTGAACAAAATGTTCAATATTTTGTAAAACATCTTTGATATTTTGAACAAAATGTTTGGTATTTTGGACAAAATGTTCGGTATTTTGAACAAAATGTTTTGTATTTTGAACAAAATGTTCTGTATTTTGAACAAAATGTTTGGTATTTTCAACAAAATGTTCGGTATTTTCAACAAATTGTTCGGTATTTTGAACAAAATGTTCGTAATTTTGAACTATATGCTGGGTAAAATGAAAAGGGTGAAGTGAGTAAAAACCTTATTGATAGAAAGATTATGCTCTGATCTAGAAGACAGTAAAGGATTGAAGCTGTGCGAAGATGAATATTTTGTAATGCTGCAACCTCCGTCCGTCCTCTTAATTTACCAACAAATCGGATTAATTCACAATTTTAACCTTAATTTTATCTAAACAAATTTTAATATCGCCAAATGCTGAAATTGTTTTATAAAAAACCCCATTGTAAAATTTATATATCCTAAAAAGTTATCAAGCTTTGGGATTAACTCAATTGAAATAATTAAATATATGAAAAATTTGGTAAATTGATGAATGAAAAGATGAATAAAAGAGTGAATGAATACCTTGTCACTATTAACTGAGCATCTACCAGGCCTATAGTCCTCTATACGACCAGGCTGAACTCGAAATCTATCCCGTTCATACCGCGCTTGCGCAGAACTAGCAGACGGGGGAGGACTCAAACTGAATAGACGAGCATGGAAACAGCCATCATTTTTACTTTTTGAATGATATAGAACGATTAAAAGGTCATTGATTGCTTTTTTTAATATGTACAGGGCTACCCACTTTTATCCCACCAAACAGAACTAGTTGTCAATGTGAAGTTAAACTGAGTTAGTCGTGCCATACGTTTTTGCAACCAGTTATCGCATAAAGGTATAAAGTGGACTTAGTAAGGGGTTCAAAAATCGGTGTTAATCCAAGTTGTAGCCAGGCCTGGCTATTGCAGAGTTTACAAATGAACTTTGAAACTCTGCTAAAATGGCAACATTGTGAAGTTAAATTCCATTTTAACTCGATTTTTGTTTGCTGGGATGAAAACCCACAACTGAGGTTCTTCTCTAAATAAAGTCTTTATTTAAAATCTTTGAAAAAGAAAAAATAGAAAAATTAATTCCATTCAGTCGTCTTTAAAATCTCATCCTTTCTGGGTAGCCCTGTATTTACTAAAATTATAAAACTGCAGAATTATTTTTGTCCTTGTTCCGACAAAGTTTTTAAGGTATCGTTGTGAATCAGACATGGATATCTTTGCGTGAATGGTAAGTTGAATTTACGCTTACAGTTCCTTTAATAGGTTCTATTTACCTTCGTTCTCGGGGAGCACCGCCTGGAGTAAAGGAGTCCAAGGATCCAACCTAAATAAGAATATGCGTTAGAACTAGAAAACTGTGGAATAGGAAGACGACATAAAAGCAATAATTATCGTATATGATGTCGGTACAAAGCAAAGTTTTACCAATTAGTTATCAAATCACTTATTAAGGGAAATGGGTAAGTTTGAACTCATGTTCATTGGACTATTTAAAGTAATAACTTGAGTTTAGAAGTCGACTTCAGAGTTTTCTGGTCCTTACTGTATTATTAACATTTAGATACTTGGTGATAATTTAGTCTTAGCTGGCATCGAGTTTAAAATAAGGTTTTAGACTAATATGTTGTTTAAAGTTGAGTCAATTAAAAAAATATCTAGGCCACTTAAATTAAACCAAACTAACTATATAAGTCGGGTCTAACTTTGAACGTAATATGAGTTGGGCGTAAGAAACCTATATAGACTAGAGAGTAGAGACTGAACTTTTTATAAAAACTAAATTAGTGTTCTTTTTAAAGTCGTAAAACATATAGCTTTATGGATAATTTTCTTAAAACATAATCCCCCGATTTGGATAATTTTGGAAACTAACCCTTAGCTGGCATCGAGTTTAAAATAAGACTCTAGACTAACTTTTAGAGTTAAGACTATTCGGAAATTTTTTAAGTCACTTCAACAAAATTCGGAAAGTCTGAGTCTAACTTTAACCGTTACAGAAGTTGTGCGTCAGAGACTTAAACTAAAGACTGAACCTTTTAATTTCCCCCCCCCCTCAAACCAAAACCTTTCATAGAAAAATAGATAAGCCTGAATCCAAAGTACATATGGTCTCCAAAATTATACAATCATTCATCAAAAAAATATTATTGATCCTTGAATAACATACAAAGAAATTAGATAAATATTATGATGAATGAGAGGTCTAGAAAACTTGTTTTCAATCAAGGACCCTATATATTCATATTTATAAAATATTTTTTTTATGCAATGACATAAATATAATACTTTTTTATAATCATATACTTCACATCATCGCTAAGCGAGGGGTTGTCGCGCTCATTTTGCTTGTAAATCGCCATTATTTCTTTGAACATTAAAAATCCCCGAATATTTCGCGGATTTTTCAAAAATCGGCAATGTTTTGAAGCCGTTTTTTTCAATTTCGACAGATTTTAAAAATGATTAATTTTAATTATAGTTTCTCTATAAAAGTGACTTGTGCAGAAAAACATGAATTTTTAGAATTAAACACTTTTCAACCTTAAAAACAGGCAAAATATATTCCAGATTATTGATCAGATAAAGGTTTTAAAGGTACCATTGTGAATCGGGCATTGCCATCTTTGCATTAAGGCCTGGAGGATAACTTGAAATTACAATCTCTTTTTAATCCGGCTAAACCTGGCTTATAATTTCCAGTCTTAGTCGAATATTCAACAAACATTTTTTCCCGGAGGGGAGGAAAAATAAGAATTTACAATACCTTGATTTTCTGCTCTCGTTCAAATCTAGATTCAGCCTTGCTAAAAGGTGGTGGCGTGTGGGGCGGAGAACTAAACAGATAGATCGAAAGATAGATAGATAGATAGATCGATAGATAGATCGATCGATAGATAGATCGATCGATAGCTAGATAGATAGATAGATAGATAGATAGATAGATAGATAGATAGATAGATAGATAGATAGATAGATAGATAGATAGATATATCGATAGATAGATAGATAGATAGATAGATAGATAGATAGATAGATAGATAGATAGATCGATAGATAGATCGATAGATAGATCGATAGATAGATCGATAGATAGATCGATAGATAGATCGATAGATAGATCGATAGATAGATCGATAGATATATCGATAGATAGATAGATAGATAGATCGAAAGATAGATCAATAGATAGATAGATGTTAAGTCTACTGTATCTTGAGGTTTTAACTTCCTATTTTCTAATTATTAACTAAACAGTTAAACTATAGGTCACGCTTCAAGTCCACTAGCATCTATACACTTATTTCTTTATATATATAGTTTGGTAGGTAGGAATGTAGGTAGTTCAAGGTAGGAAGGTAAGTAATTGTAGATGGGAAGGTGAGTATTTGAAAGTAGGAAGGTAGTTCTTGAAGAAAGGGAGGTAAGTACTTGTAGGTAGTAAGGTAATTTAGTAGGTAGGCAGGTAAGTACTTGAAGTTGTAGGTAGGGAGGCAAGTAAGTAGGAAGTTAACAACTTGTAAGTAGTACTTGAAGTTGTAGAAAGAAAGGTAGTATTTGAAGTTGTAGGTAGGAAGGTAGTACTTGAAGTTGTAGATAGGAAGATAGTAATTGAAGTTGTAGGTAGGAAGGTAAGTACTTGTAATTATGAAGGTAAGTACTTTTGGTCCGAAGGTAAGTACTTGAAGTTGTAGGTAGGAAGGTAGTACTTGAAGTTGTAGGTAGGAAGGTATTACTTGAAGTTGTAGATAGGAAGGTAGTATTTGAAGTTGTAGGTAGGAAGGTAGTACTTGGAGTTGTAGATAGAAAGATAGTAATTGAAGTTGTAGGTAGGAAGGTAAGTACTTTTAGTCGGAAGGTAAGTACTTAAAGCTGTAGGTAGGAAGGTAGTACTTGAAGTTGTAGGTATAGGAAGGTACTTGAAGCTAGAAAATTAAAGGAACTGTAAGCGTAATTTCAAGTGACCCTCCATACAAAGATTGCAGTACGGTTCCCTTGAAACCTTAATCTGATTAAAATGTGGGAGATAACGTCGTTTTTCTGACTTAAAAAATATTATAATTCTGATCATTTCTCCAGTCTTTCTTATGTCCAAGAAATGTGCAAATCACTTTTGCAGAGAAACCACAAATCAAATTAAACAGTTTTAAAAACATAAACATAGAGTTTTATTTCATACTTAAGATTAGACATAGGGTACCGTTGTGAATTTCAACATACAATTACGCTTACAGTCCCTTTCAGTACTACTTGATAGGTTACCTGGGTTTATCTCCGTCCTTATCCAGGTATTTAGCTTGAAGAGCTCCTACCTCACTATCAGGACTGTAGTCATCAAACTTACCTAGATAATACTTCTTTATAACAGATTTAAATAAAGTATATTTTATATTTTGTACAAACTAGCTGCCCGGCGTTGCACGTGGAATTTTAAAAGCACTTTAATTTTGAAAAAAAAATCAAGTTTTTAAAAGAAAAATTAAATTTGTTTAGCCCAGTTTATCCATGGGTTCCCTAAAATAATGCCAGCCAAATATTAATGAGCGAAGAGCTTTATTATCTAGAGTACAAAATAAAATTTTAACAGAAACTGCAGTAGAAATTCAATAAATAGGAAAAAATATAAAATTGTAAAAGAGCGACATTTTAATGTAGTTTTGCAATATTTTTATTAAGTTGTCGTAATTAAATTTTTTATTTTACAGTTTTCAATCAGATCAGTATACAGTACAAAAAATATATTCAAATCAAATTGCTGTGTGAGGGAACAAGCAAGTACTGTAAGATAAGCTTTTGTAAGATATATTAAACATATTTAGTATTTATATTAGATGTTAATGCCACACATATTAATTCTTTGTCAATATAAAAAGACGTGCATGTTATAATCAGTTAAAATAAAAACTAAAAATTTAAAAGGATACCCCCTTAGAGCCCCTTCCCTAGTAATGATTGTTCCCTTGATAGTGTCTAACATTATCACAGATTATATTTCATAACTTCGGTTGAACTATACAAGTATAACAAGAATATATTCACAACAAATAGTTTTACGACTTAATTCTTAATTCCGTTATCATCCTTATTTTCATGGTTCATTGATGCAATTTCAATATTTTCCCGTTTTAAAGTTTTGAAAGTGTTCAATTCTGATAATTTCTCAAATGTATCAGAGACATAAATGTTAAAATTCCTTAGAATAGTTACTTTTCATGAAGAAACACATTGATTTCATATTCATAATATAAAATACAAAGCTTATAAGGGCACCATCATGAAGTGAGCATTTCAACTCAATAATTAGAGGGTCACTTGAAATTATGTCTTCAGTCCCTTAAAAATCGGGAATTTGTCTAATTGCACTGAATGAACGAACCTTTCCAATTCAAATAATTATTCTGCTTATTGAGGTACTGAGAGTGTACTCTGAACCTATTCCGTCCCATCCTTGGTGTCTCTTTGTACGGAGCATAACTTGATATCGGAGGCCTGGACAGGGAGAGGTAGGGGGAGGGTTGGTATGGGGTATATCTTTCATAGTGTAGTTGGGCTGAGCCAAAGTGATCAAGAGAGGTATAAGATCCAAAACTGTTCGGATATCCTAGATTACTCCTTCTTTGGTGGTGGTCAAGGTCCTGTTCTTGGTCCCTATATATTTCAGGAGGATTTTCCAAACTACGGAAACTACGGAATCTTAGAGGTTGAGAAAACTCATCGCCGTTAGGATTGCTGGATACAGATTCAAACTTTGATCTACTCCCACCAACGAAAATTATTATTTGACTAATTTTATGGAACAATTCAACAATTTAATCCGTTTTCAAATCAGTGAGAACTTTTTAAAGAATGAAACAAATACTATCAATATCTTTTTTAATTTAGATGGGAGGTAGGAAGCTATGGTAACCGATTACCATCTCAAATGTTCCCATGAAAATTTCGGTTAAATGGAAAATATTTGATGTGAAAGAAAAGACATATCTAATGAAAAAATTAATTTCTTTCGTTCCTGTCATTCTTAAGATTATTGATGAAGTTATTGTGCTCATCTATACACGTTTTCACTTCGTCAGCGTAGGATTTCATGTTTAAACATATCTGCAGTACAATTTAAATTGTTTACATATCTGCAGTACATTTAAAATTGTTTACACATTTGAAGTTCATTTTATATGTTTACTATTCAAATATTTAACATTTTTAAAGTTGACCGAGACTAAATTTTTTTTTTTAAATGTTGTAAAAAAGAAAAGCGGAGGAGGGTTTATTATTGAAATCGGGAATGCTGAATATTTTTTTAAAAGATAAAAAATGAAAATTCACAAAATTATAAATGATAGATTTTCACTTTTATATGTGTAACTGTAACGCGATAGGTATATGATGCTACTGTAGCTATTCAAGAAGTCTGTTTTCTACTTAATGTGAAACATGTCAAAATCAAAATTTATTATTTTATTCTTCTTTTTATTTTATTTTTGAACCCCTTTGTTCAATAGAAATTATTAAATAATAGATTGTGAACCCAGCTTTACCAGAAACCTACACTTTCGTTATAAATGTAAACCTATACTCCACTTGGAAGTTTGAAGTCAATATAATAGCATTCCTGTGATTCTGCAAGTTCCCAGCTACAAGTTTAAGGCAAATTGGTGAAGGGGTTTCTGAGTTATGATCGGACATCCGAACAAACAAACAGAAATTAATGCTTTATTTATGGAATATGTGAGATCAAATGGAAACACTATTTATTATACTTTTTTATTATTTCTAGAAAGGGAAATGAGAAAATTAATCTAGAATGGGGTAATCCCCCGCCGCCTCCTGTCAGCTTTATTTCATGATAAAAAAATCGTCGCGTTCAGTCAAAATACGATAGTTTTTATCCAAATCTTTGGGAAAATTCGTTCTTGTGAACGATTCCAAATTGTTCGTTTTTAAAAAACTTTTTTTTAAATTTTTTTGAACTATCCACGCTGTTCTTCCATTGTTTTTTTTTCCTGAACAATGAGACGTTGCTAAAAATTTCGTTCATTCTCAAAAATATCGGTCTTTTACTAAAACAATACCAATCTCTACCGCTTGTAATTTTTTTTTTTTTTCATTAACTAATTCCGCGTAATTATTTGTCTGACATACGGCTGGGAACAGTCGGATTATATAAAATCGTTTAAAAAACAACTGCTCAGAAAACCCTTTATCATTCATTATCTAAACTGCAGATTAATACTTGATTAGAATCATTTAGTATATTTGCTTAGAATTCGGCATCAAATGTCGTATTCTTCACTTTCTGATAATGGAATGTTGCAGATATCTAGTTTTTTAATAAAATGATTATATGGAACTCTTCAAAACTGTTCCCGCATATTCAAGGATATTTATTTATTTTCGCAAATACTGAAATTTACGTAATATAGTATAAAACTCATTGAAAAATTGTCAAGACGACATTTCATAAATTCTTCCGATGTATTCGTTATTAAGGGTTTCACTGTACATTTGTGAAGAAGTAGTGACTACAGTGATTAGTGATATATATATATATTGTTACTTAATTTCCATAAGTTAGTATAAAGTTTGACTAGTTTAGGAAAAGAACTATCGTTAAAAGCTAAAAAATATGTTTTATAGTTCAAAAGGTTCTTAAACTGGTTCTGAGATTAAACAAGAAATCAGGATAGTTAAGTTACTGCAATATATGATATAAGTAAAACAAAATTGTTCTTAAAGGGGCTGTTCGTGTAATTTCAAGTGACCTTACATTTACAGTGTTTCACGAAGATTCTCATGAAAGTTTTCACTGATTAAGAATTAATGAGACATCCTGCTTTTTCTCGATAAAAATTGATTTTTTCAACTGTGATTTTATTCTGTAAAAATGACTTGTATAAAGATGTAAATGTAGAGAATTAAAGAGGTATCAAGCTAAACCAGTTACGATATTTTCCATTTTATAAAGATAAAGATTGTGTTATGAGAATCACATGACAATACATCTGCACTCGATAACTCAATAAAACCGGATATTAGTGAATTAGTCAAGATGTCACCTGTCCTAGTCCCAGTAGGCTTAGGTAAAAGATCTATACAACATAATTTTAACATTTCAATAAATCATGTTAATTATAAATAAAAAGACAATTATATTGTATCTGAAATGCAATTATAAAAAAATTTAAACTCTACATAACATAAAACTACACTGATATTTTAGTCATATTGCTACGTTTATGTTTTATCAAATAAATCAAAATTTTGCAACCCTTCCCACCTAAATAAAAGATACACATACATTGTCAAAGTAAGCATTTTCTCAATACACTGTTAAACAAAGAGAGAGAAGATATTTTTTCTCTAAAAACTGTCCTCACCGTTCCTGTTCTGAAAGTTCTGTTCCAAGTACTGTTTGACCTTCTTTTCCTGTCTGGCCTTCTTCAACAGGAGCACATCAGGGTCCTCAACCTACAGGACAGGGTTAAAGGGAGTGTTTACAAATTTGAATAGTGTTAAAGGGACTTTCCCCATAATTTCAAATAGTGTTAAAGGGACTGTCCGCAAAATTTTAAATAGTGTTAAAGGGACTGTCCGCGTAATTTTAAATAGTGTTAAAGGGACTGTCCGCGTAATTTTAAATAGTGTTAAAGGGACTGTCCGCGTAATTTTAAATAGTGTTAAAGGGACTGTCCACTTAATTACAAATAGTGATAAAGAGACTGTATCCGCTGTATACGTAATTTAAATTTAAAAAAGGGACCGTAAACATAATTCCTAGTTTTATTTCTATTGACATTACATTGTCAGACACACAATTTGATGGTACAAACCGTAATAAAATATTAAAGGGAAAGCTTAATTTTTCAATATGAAAAAAAATTGTCAATTATTAATTTTTAGATGAAAAAACAAACATTTTTTTACCTTAGGCAAAGGAGTGGATTTCCAGTTATCTAAGGTTCGCCCAAGAGAGTTGTCATTATCTCTAAATAGTGCAGTATCAATATATAGAGTTGTAATCTTTGGCTTTAAAAGACGACATCTAGTGTCATATCTGTCATTTAAATTAATCTATAGTTGACACCTAAACCTGGACTAACTAACGCAAAGCAAATTCGGTTTCTTCAACTTGAAATTAAAAGCTCTTTGGTCTAAAATTCATCTATCTTAAAACTGTATACAATTTTTTGTATATGCTTCCGCAGACAAAAATGTATGGTAAAAAACCGAAAAATGTTTAATAGGTCAAACTTTGATCGAAAGTCGAGGCTTACTGAAACCTCAAAAAAATTAAGGGTTTACGTAGGTTTTGGTTATAAAAAAAAATTTCTCTGGCGTAAAAAAAATTAATTTGGTTGTTTAACATATGTTTAATTTGGTCATTCCGGCAATAATTTTGCTTTAAAATTTTTTGTGATTTTTTTACTAAATGTTTTGATTATAATTTAAAAAACCTGTTTTTCGGCTCAGGAGCGTCACTGAGGGAACCTTTCTTTAAATCTTTAAGTTTTCTTTCTAAAGTTGAATCCTTCCAGGCAAAGGAATCCTAAAACAAATACAACGATGAAAAAAAAACATTAAAAAGTCTGGACACTATTTTAACAGTGATCCTTCGTTTTTAGAGCATAGCATGTCTAAATACAATTGTATATTTTAAACTTAAAAATTAAATATATTTTTTAATTAATTATCCTGAACAAAAATATTTCTTTTGATGCTTTTTTAATAAATATTCTTTTAACAAATTGGTGTCAAAGAAGATTTTTCTGAAAAGAGAATAGTCTAAAGAATTAATAATTGTAGAATTTTAATCATGAAAAGATTCTTTTCAAAGACTAATTTACCGAAAGGATAATTGATAGAATCCCAAAAATGTCATTTGTGGATATTTTGTAGAAAAATATTTTTAAAATGCCTGTAAGTGAAAATTTGACTAAAATCTTAATTTTCTTTAGTATTTTTGAACATAAAGCAATAGAGTCTTTGCCGCAAACTCAAATTCACTAATTTCTATATCTTTGCAATCTATAAATGGACATTGGAATGGATAAGAAAATCAGAGTTAGTGGCAAAGACTTAATCTTTTCGAAATTAAAAATGTTTTGATCGAAATTGGTAATGACATTTTATGATATAATTAAATTCAAAGATTAAACTTAACGTAATGTTCATAATTTCAAACAACATATTTTTTTTAATTTAAAATGGTTTTAGTAGATCAAAATATAATTTTTTTAACTGCTTTGTTAAAATATTATTTTCTAAGAACACCACCATCAATATTTTCAGGAATGATTTGGATAAATAATTTGTCAGAAATAAGTTTATTTAATATTTTCTTTTTGACCAAATTTTGAATATTTATTTTAAATTGTAAAGTGCGTTATTTAATTATATGTAAAAATTGCTAAATTTGGGTAAACATATCTTTCAACCCCAATATCATTGCAAGTCGAGATGTTAACTGAACCCAAATTATTTTTTACTAAAATTTGATTATTAGGTTTGCATTAATTTAGTCGCGAAATATTTTTCTTCATTTATGGTAATATTTACAGGACATTAAATAACAAATATTCAAAATAATACATTTGTTCAAATTTTAGAGCTAAGAAATGCAATTCAAGAGAAAAGCTTTGTAAGGTTTATTGATTGTTTTTGAATTTTTTTTTCTTTCAGGAGTTGCTCCAGTTAGATCTTTAGTAGCTCACAAAGTGTCAAACTAGATAAACTAGATCAAACTAGATCAAACTAGATCAAACTAGATCAAACTAAATCAAACTAGATCAAACTAGAGTATTAAGTATTTTTACCTTAGGATCAGGGCTGTTGTATGCACTATCAGATGAAACCTGAAAAAAATTGATTTTAAAAATGTATTTCCAATAAATGTCCAAACGACTGATTGGACAAGTTTTCGGACAAATATTGCAAATCGGATTGTTGCCTAAAAAAATTTCGATTTTTAAAAAATGTTAGAAGACTGCAAATAAAAGCAAAAAAATCTACCAAACATTTTAGTAATTTTTCCAATATGTATGGAAAGAATGCGAAAGGTTATTTTATAACTAGATTCTAGTATAATTAAAAAATTATAAATTCCAAACAATCTTTCCGTAAAAAATTAAAATTATCCAAAACAAGTGAGACCCACAGAACTTTGGAATAGGAAGAAGATTTGATGTTGTAAAATCAAATTGTTTTTCAAACTGCTTGATATGTAAATCTGAACTTGACTTAACTGGTTGTCTTCTTAAACCACAGTACAAACTGCAACATTATAATGCAAGGAAAGTTAATTGCAGTTGCGTATACTCTGCGTACATATTGAAACTAGTTCTCTCTGGGTGGAATTTGTAAACAAGAATTGATGCATCAGTGTTCGTTTAGTATCCTAGGAGGTTAAAAGCGTTTAATTTTGATAATTTTGATAATTTTTTCCTTTGACCAGAATATTTCTTAGATTTTTTAAGTGAAAGATGGATCCCATCCTTCGTTGTGTTTACATTACCGCCCAGAGACAGTACACTGCAGTACAAAAGATGCGTACACCTCTGAAATAACTTTCCTTGCATTATAACCTTGGCCCACTGTGAGTTATGTATACTTACACTACGTTTGACCCTCTTCAGACTGTTTGAATCGAAGTTGACCGGCTTAAAGTCCGGGGAAGGTGACGGTTGGTTCCGGGGAACCCAAACCTTAAACAAATAATTGTACCAGAGCCAATATCGTCTTTCTCATCAAAGTATAGAAATCCCCCAACTAGATCAGATAAATCCACAAACACCGTAGTTCAAGAGACGATAACTTGGTGTGAACTAATCCTTAGCTCCTCACTTATACTCTCATTATAAAGGTGATTATAAAAAAGTAAACACCATGTTTATTGGGAAAGCCTGCACTATATATATATATATGTATATATATCATATCCCTGATTATTGGGACACCCTGTACTATATATATATGTATATATATCATATCCCTGATTATTGGAACACCCTGTACTATATAAATATATATGTATATATATCATATCCCTGATTATTGGGACACCCTGTACTATATATATATGTATATATATCATATCCCTGATTATTGGGACACCCTGTACTATATATATATATATGTATATATATCATATCCCTGATTATTGGGACACCCTGTACTATATAAATATATATGTATATATATCATATCCCTGATTATTGGGATACCCTGTACTATAAATCATACCCATGTTTTTTTATGATACCCTGCGTACTTTGATGCTTACTTACCTTTGGAATATCCTTGAAGGAACCTGAAGTCTCCTTATAGTTTATTTCTTCAGTACTGGACCACTTGGCTGAAATATTAATTAAATTATTATTATTGTTATTATTATTATTTAATAATACATCATATAGTAAACTTCTAAACAATAATTCAAAACTTCTAAACATTCCGTGAATCCTTAATATCAGGAATAGCAGAGAATAACATCGTTTTTAGAGTTTGTAAAGTGATCAGAAAACTCATTTGAGGGTACTGTTGTAAATTAGACATGCCACTCGTATCACCTAGGTTTACAGTGTCTTTAACAAATGATTATTTTAAGTGTATTTGTATTTACTGGCTTGACTGATTATAATTCCACATGACTTATTGTACATGAAAGAATAAAATCAAACTTAATTCTTTGAAAACAAATCTTTACAGTTCAAAAACAGAAACAAAGAAAAACCTTCGAATTTTAGTAATAAAATGAATATCCCTTGCAACTTATATAAATTACAATAATAAACTTGTTTCATTGGGGGGAAAACTGATCTATATGGGTCAAATACAGGAACGAAGGGCAAATTTTCAATTTCATTATTAAAATACTTTTAGCATCATAAAACCTTTGATTGCAAATCACAAACGTACTGTTTTTAACAAGTCAAGGTAGAGGTTTTTTCATCAATATAATTTTATAATTGGCTGAGATGAAAGACATTCTTGAGATTAAAGACATAAAATATTTTTATCAATTTACAAAAGGAATTGCAGTCTTTTCCACAAACTTAAATTTTCGACTGCCCATTTCTTTACAATCTGATGGTGTAAACCTTTGGTATTTCAAACTAAGAAGAATTCATAGTTTGCTATTTCAAACTAAGAAGAGATTAAAAAATTTAACTCAACTATTTAGCTGGTAAAAAAAACGCTAGAACAAATCAAATCTACGAAATGTTATATGGAAATTATGAATGTAGAGCAGAGGTTGACATCTTAAGAAAAATGGTATTATTTGAATCATATATTAGCTTTATAAGCATGAAATAAATCTAAGACTCACAGTAAAAAATAAAATGTAGCCAAAGAAAGAATTTTCTTAACCTTTTCGCTAATTTGGTATTCTTGTCAAATGAAGGTTTGGAAAGAGGGAAGAAATAAACTGCCCCGCCCCCACTGTTTTTTTCCATAAAAATTATAAACTTTGCGATACTCTTAATTGTAAATATTTTAGCATTTTTGTCTTCGCACATTTGGATCATGATAAAAAACATTTTTGCACTTTCTTTCTGTTTTCAAATAGTTGGCGAATTGGCAAAATAAATTTCCTCTGGGGTCCTGTGAGATATCAAACACATATTTTGACGTTAATTGGACACAAACATGACGACAAGCCAAATCGTTGTATATATAAAAAGTAATTTCTGTTGGGGTCTTTGTATGTCGGAGCATTTAAGTCAGGAACCCATTGACCGAGTTGCCTCAAATTCGTATTGGGGAACTTGGTTTAAAGGCTTTGAATTTAGTGGTTTGACTTTGAAAGAGAAAATTTGGTGTGCACAGTGCAGGCAAAGGTGGGTGTAAGCTAGTGTATAATAAAGCCGCAAAGGGAATTTTAATGAAGACCTACAAAGGATTGGAAATGATATCAAAATTACCAATGTTAGCTCAACAAAGCATTAATTCCAACTGACGAACAATTTGTAACAATTCAAATGAGTGGTTCCGCGTGAAATAAAAAATATTTAGCGCCATATTGAAAATTTTCAGATAAACAAAAAATCCACGCTAAAAGTTTGATTTGACATTTTTGAGTTTTTCATCGACACAATTTTATTACACCCTACACCCTCCCCCCTCCCCTCCCCTGTATTGCAGGGCAGTGCTAAAAAGTCCAGATATATATTTGACTGTAAATAAAACAACGCCAAAAAGTCAGTGCATGAAAGGCTTCCGCCCTTAAATCCTCCCGACAAAAACTATTTATCTATCTATCTATCTATCTACACGTTTATCTATTTGTTGTTTAAACTATTCAAATTAAAAAGGTTAATTGTATACAATAAACCTCTCCAATTATTGTATATTTAAAGGTCCGAAACGTAAAGGTTTTAAATATAAAATTTTAAAAAGAAATTCATAACAAAAGGAATTGAATCTTTGTCACAAACTCTAGTTTTCTAATCTCTATATCATTGCAATCCAACGTCGTAGACCTTAGATATTTCAAACTTTAAATTCTGTTGGATCAAATAATTTAAGTTTGAAATATCAAAGATTTAAACCATTATAATGGAAAGGTAAAATAGTTAGAAAATATAAGTATGTGGCAATGACTTAATTCCTTTCTTAAATTGTTAATTTTTTAGTCTTAATATAGCGGTCACCATTTTTTTGCCTCCATTTTAAGTAGGACATACCAGATGATTAACGCTACCCTTACAACTCAATAATGTAGATATAGCGTCACTTTTTGGCTTAAAAAGGTGTTTAATTCTGCTAATTCCCAAATTCTTTTTTTAAATTATTTACAACCATTCAACCATTGGTTATTGAAAGGAAACCTGTAACCCCTCTCTCCCCTAACAACCCTAATGATTTTTGGGAAATAAGTATAAAAATAAATAAAAAATTGGATTTATAATGTCCAAATTTTCTTTTTTTCCAGAATTATTCAAAAATATTTCACCCCCTATATGCGTATTTGTATGTCTATCCACATTAATTGAAGAGAGTAGTTTGGAGGCCCTGTTATCTCATTAAAAGGACTGTAGATGTAATTTCAAGTGGTCCTCCATCTTTATATTTACAACAGTATCAATTAAATCTTTGTCAAAAATATTGAGATATCCTGCTTTGTTTTGTGGAAAATTGAAAATTTTCAATTGCGGTTTCTCTCTGAATTAGCTTATGAAATTATCATAAAGAGACAATAAAGGAAATACAAAATTAAATAGTGCGCGGACTATGAAGGGTTACTTAAACTTACGTCTCAAGTCCCTTTCAGATTGCTTGTTATCTTTTAGTCTGAAAAGATTAATTAGGTAAAGTTGTTTAAATAGAATCCTTTCATCCTGCTTTGAAAAGAATATTATTAAGCTTTAGAGTTAATTCAGAATTAAGAATTATAACGTTTGCGCAGAAAGCAGAGGAAATTTTTTTATAGAATATTAATTTTTAGTTTATTTTAATTTTGACTGTCAGTGTCAAGCTGATTTTAAGTAACTCATCAGATAAACGTATCATGGATTAATCATCAGATAAACGTATCATGGATTAATCATCAGCTAAACGTATCATGGATTAATCATCAGCTAAACGTATCATGGATTAATCATCAGATAAACGTATCATGGATTAATCATCAGCTAAACGTATCATGGATTAATCATCAGATAAACGTATCATGGATTAATATCGCTTCATTGTCCTTTAAATATAATGTACATTAGCAGCCATCTAAATACACTCAAATTAAGACAGAAACTCTTAAAATTACGTTTACATTATTTTAAACATAAAGTAATAATTACAATCAGGTAATAAAGAGATAATAAACATAGATAGCTTATGTACGCAAAATCAACAAGAATTGTATAGTCCGCGAACTCATACTTCTAGGGGTCAAAGTGTACTTCAATGATAAGCGGGGTGGTTTGGTGTTTTAATAGAGTGTAAAATAACTCCGAGAATGAAACTATTTGAGCAACAATATTTCACTGAGCAATATATCATATTGACGAGAACTGAAGAAGGACATGAGAAGGACATGAACTAACTTAAATTTCTTTCTACAGAACTCAAGTACACCACAAGTACTCAATGACCTGAATAGCGAATGTTCACAACCGACCTAGTTAATCTATATAATAGGAATATCTTTAAAACGTCTCTGTACATTTATATCTTTCAAGATGAAAAATGTCGTCTTATGCGCAATCTATCTTTATCTATGATAATAAATGGGCAAAGAAGTCATGCATAAACTAATATGTATCTTCTATATTTTTATCATCGGATACATTTTTCTGTTGAAGTTTTTGAAATTCAACGGGCCCGCAACGTATAATGGTACTTCGGCTAAAATCATAATCTTATACTAAGTGCGGGTAAACGGTGGGAGTCCTGGCAACCCTTAGTGTACTCCAGCAGCTATAGTTACTTAAAATAGAGGGGCTACAGTCCTTTAAATTTAGAGGGAAAGACCGGCTATGTAAGGTAGTTGAACTAAGTATGCAGTGTTTAAGATTCATTTGAGACATATAAAACCTTTTTAAAGATCTGTAATTCCTGAGTTTTCAGATTTTTTTAATTATTAAATAACGACGACAAAAAATATAAACAAAATTCGTTAGTAAACTAATTAGTTGTTTAGGAACAGGTTGAGAAAATAAAAATTAATTTATTCATCGAAAATAAGTATCTTATTCACTTAGATTTTCATAGAAAATGAGAAATTCAATATAATGATGAAAGCGAAATAATTGATTCTAGTTTGATTCATTGACAAATTTTTTTAAGAAATATATTCCCAAACATCTAATTAGTATACTGTATAATTTTTACTTTTTTTTCATCGTCGATATTTGATAATTAAAAAAAAACCGATTCTGAAAACGTACCCACCCAAATTCATGATTTTGAACGTTGACTATGCACTCAAACTCAGTAATTATACATCGTGGAAACGGTTTATATGTCTCCTCAAATGAATCCTAAATAATGTGCCCACAACTCTGCATACTCAGTTTAACTGCCTTACGTAGCCGGTCTGTCCCTTCAAGTGAATTTCTGTTTCATGTTGAAAATAACTGTTAAAGCTTGTTTCTGCATGTTTAATAATAGTTGATTTAATTCATATTTCGATATTCTGTCTTTTGTAGAAACATTAGGACTAAGGCTATTATAATACACATTACAGGATAGGATAAATACATTAGACATATAGTCAACATTGTCTAAAAATAGGACAGGATAGGACTAAGCCTATTATAATACCCTTTACAGGATAGGAAAAATACATTAAACATAGTCAACATTATCTAAAGATAGGACAGGATAGGACTAAGCCCATTATAATACACATTACAGGATAGGATAAATACATTAAACATATAGTCAACATTGTCTAAAGATAGGACAGGATAGAACCAAAGCTATTATAACATATTGTCAACATTGTCCAAAAATAGGACAGGATAGGACCATGGCTATTATAAAACACTTTACAGGATAGGATTAAACATAGTCAACATTTTCTAGGACACGATAGGACTAAGGTTATAATACACTTAACAGGATAGGACTAAATTAATATAACACACTAAACAGGATAGAAATATTAAGCATTAAAATTATTTAAAGGGAGTGTTCACGAAAAATGAAAGGGGGTATAGGCTTACGGCGAAAAAAAGCGCTTTTTATCGATACTAATCTTAAACTTCTATCTGTTGTGTCTATAAGGAGAAAATTGTTAAAAACGACTCAAACCGAAGAACATAGCGTCCACAAAAATTCAGAAAGTTGCAACATTCAACTTGGATTGTAAAATAATCAATTTAATTCCAAACAAATCATTCAGATATTACAAACAATAGTCATCGATCTTTTTTAGATGCATTCGTATATAGTTAATATTTCATAATATTTTTGATTTTGTTTTTTTAAATAATATTTCGCTGGCGCTGGATTTTCAAAAATTCCTGGAAAATATAAAAATGTCGTCTTCATTATCACAAATCCTCGAAACAGGATTAAATGTTTTCAAAAAGTAACTCTCAGATCATGAAAAATAAAAAAAATATTATGAAATATCAACTATATACGAATGCGTCGAAAAACTATCGATGATTTTTAGTTGGAATATCTAAATGATTTGTTTGGAATTAAATTGATCTTTTACGACCCAAATTAAATGTTGCAACTTTCTGAATTAGCATGGACGCTACATTTTTCGGTATGAGTCGTTTTTCAACAATTTTCTCCTTATAGACGCAACAGATAGAAGTAAGATTAGAAACGACCAAAAACGCTTGTTTTTTATTTTTCGAGAACACTAATTGTAAATCCCTCCAAATGATAAATTGTTCCAAATTTGTATCCCTCCAAATGTACATCCCTCCAAATGTGTATCCCTCCAAATGAACATCCCTCCAAATGTATATCCCTCCAAATGTACATCCCTCCAAATGTGTATCCCTCCAAATGTACATCCCACCAAATGTAAATCCCTCCAAATGATTATTGTTCCAAATTTGTGTCCCTCCAAATGAACATCCATCCAAATGTGTATCCCTCCAAATGGACATCCCTCCAAATGTATATCCCTCCAAATGTACATCCCTCCAAATGTGTATCCCTCCAAATGTACATCCCTCCAAATGTAAATCCCTCCAAATAATTATCGTTCCAAATGTGTATCCCTCCAAATGTACATCCCTCTAAATGTAAATCCCTCCAAATGATTATCGTTCAGAATTTGTATCCCTCCAAATGTACATCCCTCTAAATGTAAATCCCTCCAAATGATTATCGTTCAGAATTTGTATCCCTCCAAATGTACATCCCTCCAAATGTGTGTCCCTCCAAGAGTGTATTACACTCCAAATGTTTATCCCTTCAAAAATATGTCTCTCCACAGTCCAAATGTGTATCCCTCCAAGAATGTTTTTTTCCTCCTTTCCTTATCCTTCCTAGCTCCATGGAATCCTCCTAAACCAAACATCCCCCACTGCTTTTTAACGTAAACACCTTTTTTTACAGTTTAATTATACGCAATTATTCTTCATTCATAAAATTAATTTGGTCTCAATTCATGATTTTTGTTTTAAAAAAATTTAAAAAAACTAGAATTTATTGCAATCATGCAATTTCAAAATTTAAAGGGTGGGTCCAATTTTAAACAAATAGTTAATATGTAAAATATATAAATACATAGAATATTAGCAAGAAACATTATGTAAGCAGTAAATAATAAATAAAATTGTGAAAGTGGTTTGAATCATGAAATTAATAAATATGTAGTCTTACGAAAAAAAATTTTAAATGCTCAAAATAAAAATGTCTAAGTTTTAGAATATTGATTCGAGATTCGCATCACTTTTGACACTTTAAATACTAATAAAAATATTATTATTATAAAAAAAAGGTTTTACCATTTTTCAGGTGTCTTGCATCAAAGCTCGGTGAAGGGCAGGTCTTCGTTCGGCCTGAGCCTGCAATAGGGTTGTTAACTGTCATCGTTCCGTATAATTGATCCAATCGTTTCGAGATGTTCTAATCGTTTCTGTAAGCTCTTATCGTTTCGGCAAATTGATTCTTATACCTCATTCTATATCATCTGAAGATTATAAACTAAATGAAATTTAATATCGGGTTTCTAACACCTATCTTTTTTGTTTATACATCTATCTTTCAATCTATCTATATATATCTTTTATCTATCTATCTAACGAGATAAATCCATCTAAATCTATATCTATGACTATTATATATGATTACATCTTCATCTATACTTATATTCAAATCTAGATCTATGTCTAAATACATCTATATCTATATCCACGTCTATCTATCCGTCTATCAATCCATCTATCTATCTATCTATCTATCTATCTATCTATCTATCTATCTATCTATCTATCTATCTATCTATCTATCTATCTATCTATCTATCTATCTATCTTTATCTGTTAATCTTTTTTTTACTTTTTTGTAGATAAACCTGAAAAAAAATGTTAACAAATTTCTCACAGATTCACTTTTATGATACACATTACTATGTAAGATTGTAAAAATAAATAAAGAATTAGGCTGCTTGCCAAAACTTAAGACCTCAGACTCCAACTAGCTTTAGTTCGGAAAAAAACAAAGACTGTAAGATTTAAATATAAAATTTGTGGGTATGATATAATGTATAATGAAAATAGTTTTACCATTAGCTTAACATTATTTAGTAATATGGATCTGTGCGCACAGTTAGGCTTTTTAAAAACGATCGTAAAAACGATAGTTTTCCGTTTCGTTTTTTCTATAAAAACGATCGTTTCGCTCGTTATTGAAGGGTCGTTTTCTAAAATGAAAAACGATCATTTTTGAAAACGATCTTTTTTTAAAAAACAATCAGCTTTTATTTTAAACGAAAAATGACCGTTTTTGAAAAATAATATTTTTAAAAAGGGTTGAAAGGTTAAATTGAAAACGATCCATCCCTGACCCTATGCACAGTTGCTATGTTTCATGTTCATTGAACTATTCAAAGTCATACTTGAGTTTTACCATTTCTGAGGTTTATAGGCCTTACTTTAATTCATGAACAATATAAAAAATGTATTTTTTTAGATTTAAAAACAGATTAACAGATAACTAAACTTTCGGATAAACTGAGTCTGTTTTACTTAATGTATAATGTATTCATTTCATAAGAAAATTAACTAAATTTAATTTACTGTAAAATCCTTTTGTAACTTTAATTATCGAATTTTAAGAATGATAAAATGAAAGTGTAAATGAGATAATTCAAATTTATTTGAACAATCTTCTATGGAGATAACATGTTGTTAGGCTTCCTTGGCAATCTGTTTTTATGTAATAATTTTACTTTAATGTTACTTGTCTGTGTAAAATTTATATTTGTACCTTATATTTCAATCACGTAATGAAACTTTTTTTTATCAATTTTCATAATGTTGAAAAAAATTTATTCTCATGTAGAGAAGCAGAGAGTCAGCTCGAGTTGTAACAGGGATACATATTAAGAAATACAAAAAGATCTGTATCTGAATTGATACTTACTTGAGCATAAAGAGAGTTGTATCAGGGATACTATCTTGAGAATATAAAGTGTTGTATTTGGATGGATACAGAATGAAGTATTATTGTAGAATGTGGAGTTCTAGAGGAAGTTGTATCTGTAAAATACATACTATCGAATTCAAAGGTTGTATCTAGTTTGATAGATATTTGAGAATACAGAAGGTTATACCTGGATTGGTACAGACTTCAAAAAAGATATTGGAGTAAGGCATTTGATAAATATAAAAAGAAACAGATAGTTTAAATTTTGTACAGTCGTCTGGGAAGTCTCACCTTTTGAGGGTAACCCTGTATATACATACACCTGCAATATTCTTTCTTCAAAGAATAGAAAATTAATAGAAATTTAACCCTTTCCCTGCTAGGGGTACTTGAAAACCAGGATACACTGGGGGAAAGAAGGGTCTAAATCCCATGTTTGATGTCCAAATATGACAATTGATACATCATATATAAACTCTTGTGCTCTACTTTAAGAATCTGCTTAAAAATCTAAATTTTGCAAATTTGTAAATTGATTTTGTTTGTCGTAAAATCCAGTTATATAGTACATATATCTGCACCAAAAAAAATCTCCAAAAATGATAAAATATACATTTTTGAAAAGCCCCTGACCATGCCATTTCAAATATGCGAAAATCTTTGCAAAATTTTAAATAACCTGATGTGTAATTAAGAAAAGCTAAAAATGTTAACATTTTTTTTATTAATTGTATGCAAATAATTTGCAAAAATTTCTTTACAAAACTTGTATATTCCGTTTCCTTATGGCATAGGTTCACCAAAAAGCTAAAACTTATCAAATCTGACAACTGAAAGTGGGCCAAGAGTCTCAAGACAAGATTTAGTTTGTTACAGGAAAAAGTATTCAAAAAAAGATAACTATTACTTAGTTATGTAAGAAAAACTACAGGAATAGGATTAAGAAGTACTGCTTGATGCCTACTATTCACGAAAACTCTAGAATATGTGCAACAGAATGAAATTGCCATTTCAGAGATTGTAAGATAGAAATATGCAACTATGCTATTAAAAATCTTGCTATTCACTTTTACGATCAGATTTCCTTGAGAGGGGTTTAGTTTTCTTGAAAAATATTTTATTCCCAAAATAATAGATATGTTTGAGCGGGGTACAAACATCTCTTAAGGTTTTTTAACCTTATTTGGGGGAAAATAATTGATTTTAGGGAAAATAAAAAAATAGAACATAAAAGTAAAACTTTACGGATAAATGAAAATCATTGATTCTTCAAAATATATACCCCTGATTTGCTTTATGCTCAGATAGGCTCTGCAAACTGAAGCCTGCTTTCACAGCAAAACAAAGAATTTAAACTCATGCATTTTATTTTAAACAGACAAAAACTTAAAAAGCATATTTAACATTTTATAAAAAGGTCAGAAAAAAAACTTAACGAGTTGATGACAGAAACTTGTAAAAGAAATCACATAAACTATAAATAAAAAGGGCTGTAGTGATTATTTATGTCGCTTTTTATTGCATTCTTTTCCCTCCGCCCTCTGTTTTTTTTCCAGACTTTATTTTGCCATTAAATCTATTAATGATTCCTTAAACTTTATGTGATTTTAAGTGAACTCCCATTTAATTCTCAAAGGTAACCTTTAAACTTTTGCAAGTCAAAAATTAAGAGAAACCAGAGGCCGAATTTAAAGAATTTTAGCCGGGGCACAATTATGGTTCATTTCACTTTTTCAAGATTCAAGCTGGTGCTCAATTGAAACCAATTTTTGGGGGATTTGAGACACGGCTTAAATTCATTAAATTCAGACTCTGATATTATAACTTTCAGATCAATTTAGCAAAAACCAAACTTTCTTTATTAGTTTTGATGGTATTATTTAGCCTTTCTTTCTTTTAATTACTGTGTTTGGAAAGTTTATCAATATATGAATTAAACAACGAAGATCAAACAACTTTAAATTAAAGATGGTTAAGGAGATTTGATCAATCTCCTTTCAAAAAAGCTAATTCCTTCTCTCATGCAGCAGTGAGAGAGAACAAAGATATTGTGCAAGCTGAGAGAGAATGTAGGGGTGGGGGCAAAACAAATAAATATTTATAAAATTTGAAGACTGAAGTAGATTTTACAATACTCTTAACATAAGCTTCTTTTCCTTTGATATTTTCTGTGAGTAAAGAAGTTCAAACAAATCTGGAAAGTTGAAAATATTAAATTTTGTCATTCATTTTAAAAAGGCACTTTATATCATGAACAGTTTTCTTGTCAAACAAAAAAAAAGTTAGACTAACTTTTACAAACTTTAATGATGTGGGGTGTTGCTCCATGAATTTCTGAAAAGGTCTAGCTAGTGGTCAGTAAATATAATTACTCTGTGTTTATCTGTCCTTCCTTGAACATCTACACTGTTTTTACCAGGGGTTTATATTTTAAAGAAACGAGAATGATTTTTTAAAAAATTTACTGTACCTGTTAAATTTTTAAATACACTTTTTTATTAAAAAACATCACTAAAAAATCTCTCATTTTTCTTAATTCAGCTAAAAAATTTCTAACAATCCGTTTATTCCAGGGGTGGCGGCGGGTGTCAAATTTATTCTATAGACTCAGGAAGTAATTTTTAAAACACCCCTGGTGGCTATACTGTTTATAGACAGATCATAAGGTTTTATATTTTTTTGACAAATTTTTCAAAAATAGTAATTTTTCAGTTATGAAGAGCCTTGAAGAGTTTTTAAGTATTTTTTATGATTTTTATAATTTTTATTGTATAGCATTTTCTTTCTTCCATATATTATAAAATGATACTGAAACATTTTTTGTTTAATGTTTCAGGACTGTGTGAATTTACAGAATTTGTGGAATGGTACATAATTAAGATTTTTAAAATGCATGCAAAACATTTGGCATATTATCTGAATAAAGAAACAAAAATTTAGTTGCATACAGATCTTAACAAAGTTAATAATAAGGTTCTATGTTAAAGAGTTGAATTAGATAGATATCTACAACTACAACAACTTATAATTCTTACTTCGGCTGGATCATTGACAAAGGATAAGATTGGAAATCAACTTAAAACCCTTTAAATATGACGATACCACGGGTAAAATAAGTCTTTGGCCTTGCACGTGGTCTTGAAATGGCTTATTTAATAATTTCACCGAGAAAAAAATGAATTTATAGTTGCAGGGAATCAGAAAAATAACAAAACAGACGATACAAGTTTTGCACAGTCGTCTCTGAAGTCTCATCCTTTGTGGGTATAACCTTTGTATATTATCAATTATTAGCTAACTAAACACTTTCTAACTATTAACTAGCTAGAAATATTAACTAAGCTAACAAAACACTAAATTACAAATAACTAACTATAAATATTATCTGACCTAACTAAGTACTATAACTAGCAACTAA